CACTGAAGATTCATGATGAATCTGCAACACATTACCTAACTTGGAGGAAGCTGAAAGACATTATGCTGAATGAAGTTAGTGATAAAGGGACAAATATTGTATGAAACCACTGCTGCAAAAAGTCAAGAAAAAGTTTTCATTTTGTAATAAACATTCTATGATGGTTACTAGGGTGGGAGGGGATAGAGAATTATTCACTAGGTAAAGAGTAGACGTGTGCTAATTTTGGTATGGGGAAAGCAGTTAAAAAGGCAGTAAAAACAAGAAAAAAAAAAGTTTACCCATGTACTGGAAGGGAAACAATATATATTTATTCTCATTAGGACTAACCATTGAGAACTTCCCTGTAAATGAAAAAGGGAAAAGGAAAGAAAGTGTAAAAAAAGGATTAAAAATTTTCTGAAATGGATAGTGGTGATGGTTGTGCAACATTGGGAGTGTGGGGGGGAATTAAAAAAGAATACTTGGGAATAAATATAACAAATGAAGTGCAAAACTTATACTTTGAAGATTATAAAACATGGCTGAAATTAGAGATACTAATAATGGGGAAAACACCCCATATTCATGGATTGAAGACTTAACAATGCTACTCAAACCAATACATTTAGTATTATCCCTAGCAGAATCCCAGTTGACTTCACTGTAGAATTCCGTGTTTGGCAAAGCCAAAACAATCTTGAAAAAGAACATATAATTCAATTTCCAATTTAAAAACTTACTACAAAAATATGAGCAAGATAGTGTGCTGCTGGCAGAAAGACATAAATGGATGGAATAGTATTGAATACAGAAATAAATTATACATCAATCATTTTTAGAACAGGTACCAAGACCATGTTCTTGGTTTCAAGAAAAGTCTTTTTAACAGAAGATGCTGGGTAGCAACCCTGTATAGGGCTTCTGAGTTGCAGCTGGTGGTGCAGAGCTTATTCTTCAGTGCCACACCAGCATAGCCTTTATGCTAGATGTTAAGTTGGAAGCCTTATCTCCCTCCTTTAAACTGGGTGTTGTTAACTGCTGCTGTCAAGTCAGTTCCGACCTAAACAGTCCTGTATAGGGCTTTCAAGGAGTGGCTGGTGAGCTTGAACCAACACCAGGACTTCTTAAACTGGATTTGTTAAGTGCTGTTGAGTTGGCTACGAACCACAATGAACCTGTACAGGGTTTCTGAGGATGGATGGTGAGCTTGAACCTCCAACCTTGCAGTTTAAATGACTTTGCAGTCCAGTGTGTTAACCCACAGTGCCTCACCAAGGATTCCTTAAACTAGATAGTCACATAAAAAAGGAAAAAGTTGTATGCTTGTCTCATACCAAATAAAAATATTAACTCTCACTTGATCAAATACCATTGTAAGAGGTAAAATTGTAAAACTCTTAGAAGGGAACATGGAATGATCTTCATGAACGTTAATTTGGCAGATATCATAGATACAATACCAAAAGGAAAAGAGATAAACATTTGTTTCTTAAGACATCATCAAGAGCATGAAGAGACAACCCACATAAGGGAGAAAATAATCTGCAAATTATACAAGCTCAAGTGAAAAATTATTGTTAGTAGGGTTCTAGTTTATACATGCACAGGTTTGTTCCAAGCAAAACGTGTTTACACATGTCTCTGTGATCAGTGGGTAGCTGCAGACTTTGCTCAGTCTTGTTATTGGGTGTGGTGGTTGTGTGCTGTGGAGTGTTTCAACTCATAGCCATCCTGTACAGTGTTTGTGAGGCTGGGAGCAGAAAGCCTCATCTTTCTTCCAAGAAGCAGCTGGTAGATTTGAACTACTGACCTTGCAGTTTACAGGACAGCTCATTACCCAGGGTTCCTTTAGTTTTGTTAAGGTGCTTAAAAAATTAAAAAAAAAAAAGTCAAAACTATTTTCTGAGATTATCTGCTGGGCCAGTTAAATTCAAGACAGAGATCACCTCAGGTTTTTTGGAATTCCTGTGTCTTTTTGAAGGGCATTATTAGGATGAAGTTTGAAGTCTGAAGGAAGTTGAAAACTATAGATGTATTGGTGAGAATAAATGATAGGAAAGAGGATTCCCGCTCCCCACACCCCCGCCCATCACAACGCATCTGGTTATTATTCAAGGGTAACAAGTGTTGTCCTATGAGAATTTAATTGAGGAACCTTATCCTCCCCACCCTCCCAGTTATTTGAACAGAACATGGGAACACTGAATGTTTTTAAATTAAAAAAGGTGTGCGACAAGGTTGTATTCTTTCACCATACTTATTCAACCTGTTGTTGTTATGTGCCGTGGAGTCGGTTCCGACCAATAGCCATCCTGTGCAGGATTTCCGAGGCTGTAAATCTTTACAGGAGCAGAAAGCCTCATCTTTCTCCTGTTTAACAGCTGGTAGTTTCAAACTGCTGCCTTGCGGTTCGCAGCCCGATTCATAACCACTACGTTAAAAGAGCTCCTTTATTCAACCCGTATGCTGAGCAAATAATCCGAGAAGCTGGGTTCTATGAAGAAAAACGTGGCACCAGGATTGGAGGAAGACTCATTAACAACCTGAGATATGTAGATGACACAACCTTGCTTGCTGAAAGTGAAGAGGACTTAAAACATTTACTGATGAAGATCAAAGAGCACAGCCTTCAGTATGGATTACATCTCAATGTAAAGAAAACAAAAATCCTCATCGCTGGACCAGTAAACAACATTCTTACCAACAGAGAAAAGATTGAAGTTGTCAAGGACAACTATCAACACTCAAGGAAGCAGCAGTCAAGAAATCAATCAAATGATGTATCACATTAGGTAAATCTGCTGCACAAGATCATTTTAAAGTGTTGAAGAGCAAAGATGTCAGCTTGAGGACTAAGGTGAGCCTGACCCAAGCCATGGTATTTCCAATAACCTCATGCATGCGAAAGCTGGACAGTGAATAAGGAAGACCATAGAAGAATTGATGCTTTTGAGTTATGGTGTTGGAGGAGAATATTGAAAGTGCCATGGGCTGCCAAAAGAACCAATAGATTCGTTTTGGAAGAAGTGCAGCCAGAGTGTGCCTTGGAGGCCAAGATGGCCAAACTTTGTCTCTTGTACTTCAGATATATTGTCAGGACTGCAGGATATCACGTTTGGTAAGGTGGAGGGTCAGAGAAAAAGAGGACGACCCCCAACGAGATGGATTGGCCAAGTGGCAGCATATATGGACTCAAGCATGGCAACAGTAGTGAGGTTGGCCCGGGATTGGGCAGCGTTTCATTATGCGGTGCATAAGGTCTCTATGGGTTGGTACCGACTCCATGGCACCTAACAACAACAAATCCTCCCCACCCTACAATCTTGATTTTACCCATTCAGACTATTTCGTACTCAAACTCATAGAAAATTTAAAAGGAACATGATTTGAGTTCCTGAAGGATGCAAAAATTACCTTTTGACATGTTTAAATCAAAGAGCACAGACTTCTTTTGGGGATGGTTAGAGACAAAAGCAGCACTGCCTTCAGGAATATTGATCTACATGAAGATATGCTGAGAAACAACAGATTCACATTTTGATATTTGTACTTAATTTCTAGTAGTTTGTAACAACTTTCTGACTTACCCTCATATATCTAATAAGGAACTTTTATCTAGACTATATAAAGAACGTTTACAACTCAATAATAAAAGGCAAATTAAAAAATTGGCAAAGGACCTGTACATAACAAGGAACACACACAAATGACCAATAAGCACATGCAAAGATTTTCAACCTTTTGAACAGTCATCAGAAAATCAAAACCACAATGAGACACCACTTCATGCTCACAAGAATCAGAGTTAGATACTAACAAGTGTTGACAAAGATGAGGAGATTTTGGAGCCCTCATACACTCTACTCTGGTGGTAATTTTAAATGGTCCTTTGGAAAAATCCGGTAGTTTCTAGAAGAATTAAATATGGAATTATCATATGATCCAGCAATTCCACTGTTGGATATATATTCAAGAGAGATGAAAAGATGTCCACACAAAAATCTATACATGTTTATAGCATTGTAAGGAACAGCCAAAAAGGACAATCCATAGGTCCATCAAATGAATGGGTAAGTTAATCACACACATAAAAAAAACCAGCTTGAAGACTACTCATATCAAATGCAGAATAAGGATGTTTGAAGACAGTAGAACAGTAGTTCCTTAGGGCTGGAGGGGAAGCAGATGGGGGGATAGGAAGGATAGGAAGAAGAGAATGATAGTTTCTTTTTGAGATAATGAAAATGTTTTAAAATTGACTGTGGGGGAAGGTTATATACTTGAATATACAAGTGTGAAAATGACGGAATTGTACACTTAAACAGATATGGTATGTGAGTTATAGCTCAATAGCCATTAGGAAACTACTATGGTAAAAATAACTATGTTGTTGCTAACTGCCGTCGAGTTCTGACTCAGTGACCCTGTGTATAGTTTCTGAGAAGTGTCTGGTGGGTTTCAACTGCTGATCGCGTGATTAGCAGTCCAGTGCTTATCTTATGGTGCCACAGTTAATACTAATACTTGTATGCACTAGGTTCAATGATTTACACATACATCAGTTAACCCTTAAAATAGCAATAGCAATAGTTAACTTTACAGATAAGTTAACTGAAGTCAGAGCTTAAAAATTTAACTTAAACTATTCAGGTTTTAAGTTTGACTGTTTCAAGGGCTTCTGAGAATGTTTCTGTATTACAAAATGGCACCACAGAAAATTGATTATCTGATCCTACAATGAAGAAAAAGGAGGGAGATGGGGTTAGAAATTAGGCAGAGCTCCAGTTCACCCAGGATACTGTAAACTGCAAAATGGGAAAGTTTTTTTTAGCTTGAAGTTGCAAGGTCTTGATCTTTAAAATATTTTCTCTTACAATGTAAAGAATTGGGCCCTGGTGTGGTGCTGTAGGATAAGAACGACTGCTAAGCACAAATTTAGCAATTCAAACTCATCAGCTGCTCCTTGTAAACTGTATATAGGAAGGGTTACTATTAGTTGGAATTGAATCCACAGCACACAACATGTAAAGAATAAACTGGGAATAACAAGATCGTAAGCACGGTGGATCATTAGGATAAGCACTAACGATGAACCACCAGTTGCTTCATGGTTGAAAGATGACTTTCTGCACTTGCATAGATTTATAGCCTCAGAAACCCTATACAAGGTCACTGAGTTAATATTGACTCAAGGGCACTTAATGGTAAGATCTTATCAGAGGTATTACAGTTGTATAGATGTGACACAAGACCATTCTCCTCAGATTCTCTTTTTAAATTCTTTCCCCTTCCTTGCTGTTATACTTTAGGCTAAATGAAACCATTTGCTGCTGGACTTCCTACACATTACTCCTTTGTATTAGCTGTATAAAACTTGTAGTTAGTTAACTCTATTAAAGAAGTGAAAAGACCCCTGGAATAAATCACCACCACCACCTTCATTAGTAAGGTCATATAATAGTTGTATTTCCATTTTTTACCAAAACATTTGAATTGGTCGTCACAAAACAAATGAGTTTTCTGACCTGCTGCTTGAGAAACTGTGTGTTTAGATGTCTTAAATAGGAGTTACACAAGTAGACCAAACTCACTGCCATTGAGTTGTTTCTAACTCGTAGTGACCCTAAAGGGTTTCTGAGACAGTAAATATTTATGGGAGCAGCCAGACATATAACTAAAGACATATAATTTTATAGCTGCCTGACTGAAGTATTTCTTAAAACAGTGTCACGCAATATCTAGAATATTAGATGTCTAGGAAAACAAAAGAACTGATAATGTGCAGAGCAACACTGAATAACGATGAACAAAAGAGGAAAAGCAGGAAGTTTTCCCAAGTGGGAACGACCTAGTAAATTATCATTACACTGTATTGCATCCAAGATCAAGTTATTGTCAAATAAGTCTTTTCAGGTTGCTGTCTAGCATGTCCTCCAAATCTCCTTTGCAGCCATATATCAAATGGTTCTACCTCCAGGAAGCCTTCCAGTTCTCTCCCAGCAGAATTAAGTATAACTCACCATCCTCTGTATACCAAGAAAGAGATTTACCCTTCCATTACACTGGTGGGGGACTATAAGATCAGCGCTGGACTGTGAACCACAAGATCGGCAGTTCAAACCCAACAGCTGCTCCTCAGAAACCCTATACAGGATCACTATGAGTGGACCTGACTCGACACTTGACAACAACATACTACACATGGCTATAAAACACTTACACAAGAATGTAAGCTACTGGAGAACAAAGAAAATGTTCCTTTGTCCCCTTGGCATCTAGAATAGCTTTTGAGCCACAGCAGAAAATCAAATGTATGCCAAATGAGTCAATTGTCCAAAGCTAGTGCATTTAAAATACAGAGTTCAGAATTGGCAATGTGTTTGCTTCTGACTTTATTTTACATTGAGGAAAAAGTAAATTTATTAAAAATAAATTTCACATATCAATAGTCACCAAACTGCATTAGTTTAAAAAAAATTATTAACTGGACATTTTTTCTCATCAATTTTTTTATTATGCTACTTGTGCACAGGAATGAAATTAAGTGTTTAATGAATTATGTCTGTATCTTTAAATTATGCATTTAACAAGTTCATTTAAATAAATTCAATGTTGCATAAGTGACAAGCAGCTTAAATACAAGTTTGATAACTATCATTAAAAAATTAATAAAATCAGTCATAGTCAAATTTGTAACAAGGCAATGTAATATTTATCACTAACCTGACTAAAAGGCCGCACTCGTACTGCTACTTTCACACTGTCCATACTTGGCATAGGCATTTTTATCACGTTCTCATTGCTTGTATTGTTATAGGGTAGAAAACTGTCTAAAGCAAACTGCTTATACTTCAAGCTTAACCAACAAATGCAGTTTGTTTCTATATAATCAATTATTAATGGTTTTATAAATTATTTTATACCACTTACACAGTGATGAATTTGATAGCCTACATCAAGTATCACCATTTAATTGCACAGTCAGACTGCAAACAGTGTGTTTTTAAAAATTCTTTCCACAATTATTCACTCTTTCTCCATCCACAATAGTCTTGTGCCTGAGGCCCTATAAGAATTCGCCAGTTTTAAAACCTGGTTACAAGATTTCTATGATTTTGTAGCAAGTTCCTTCAACACAAGAATCATTTATGATTTGTTTGAATTTCTCATTGTTCCAGTTATTAGGCACATACAAGATATATTTACTAACCATGAAACAGACTTATTTTACATTTCCTTTCCTTCAAATACTTTTCTGAAATTGCCAGTGAGCAGTGAACCGGTCAATCGAACCTGGATAATTAAGTCTCTAAATAATTAAGAGACTTTAAAGATAAATAGCCTTTGAGCTTGTGGAACAAGAAATGCCAACATTATAGTTAACCAATGCATTACTTGAGGTAGATTACACAAGTTGTTAGAACTACAGAAAGGCAGCAGAATTTCATGCCCATAATTTAATATCAACATAGTAACAGCCAAAATGAAAGAAAAGAATTACATTTTAAAAAATTTGAAGTCTTAATCAGAGAAGCAAAGTGCATAAACTATAAAACAGCAAGCATACAAAATCATTATTAAAACAAAAATCCCCTTTTAAAAATCTACAGACACAAACTATTGTGAAGTATACACTTTATTTAACATTGCGATATTAAGCTATATTTACATATTATATAAAGGGATGAAGTCATAATACAAAATAGAAAAACTGCCCATGACTATAAGAATCACACTCCATATAGAGTTACTTTACTTACTGAAGATCTTGTTTACAAAAATTTACAATAGTTTATATAAATTATTTACTTCCAAATTAGATGACTTTTAATAATCCACACAATTTTGATGACTTTACAAATAGGTGTATATTAAAAACTTGAAAAAGAATTACAGCATTTTTCTGCGTAAAACTTGTTTTGGAAAAGAAGATGGTTTCTTCCTGTTCCTTCCATGAATTTTTCCTGTTACTTCTGTGGTCTTTCTTGGTTTGCTCTTTACTTCATCAACTGGGCTTGCCAAGGGAGAAATCAGCTTAATTTCTACTGGAGGAGGTGACCAAGAACTTTCTTTCTCTATTTTTCTGTAAAACAACAACAAAAAAGACATGAGTCAAATAAAAAAAACATATATTATAAAATATAATTAAATCCTCAACATATTGTCAGAAATACTAGGAATTACCTTCTTTACTGCTTTAATTTTATATGAGATAATTTCAACAAGTGAACTAATTTAAGACAGTTAAGTTTAGAACCAAGGTATCACTTAAGATTTTGTCTTTTTGATTTCGATATTTAAAAAGCAATCACTGCCGAATTTCCCTTTAAACATTTCATATATATTAATAAATTCAGTAGCTCTGTAGGATTGGACTACAAGCCAATCAGATGCTCCATAAGAGGAAGATGAGGCTTACTCTTCTTGCAACAATTTATAGCCTTGGAAACTCTACATTCATTGCTATGAGTAGAAATCAACTCAAAAGCACATAACAACAACAAATACTAGCCGAAACTAGCCCCTGGGTGGTTCTCAAACAGTCAAGCACTTGATAATTAGCTCAAAGGTAGGTGGTTCAACCCACCCAAAGAAAAACAGGCCTAGTGATCTGCTTCCAAAAGGTTAGTCTTGGAAATTCCATGGAGCAGTTCTACTCTGCACACATGGGGTCACCGTGAGCTGGAGTTAACAACAACAACAAACAACAGAAGTTAATAAATATTACTGGGTTACAGGAAGTGGTAAGTACCAGTAGTCATTCCATAAACAAACAATGAAACATATGGAAAATGACAATTCTCAAATATCAGCAATTAGCAAATTTTACAATTCAGGAGTTTTCTACATATGAGGGGCTTCAAGAAACTGCACGGAAAATTCCATTATCTTTCAATTACATTTTTCCATGAACTTTTAGAAGTCCCTCTGTATTACATACAGTCAATTATATGTACATGATTAAGAATTTGTAAGTTTATAGCTTTACTAATAATTACCCATATTTGCTAACTAAAAGGTTAACGAACCCCCCCCCATCCATTGTACAAGCCGAAACATCCACTAAATACTATATTATCCCCACCACTCCACAACCCTTCTTAAAAAGAATGCGTTTCACGCTACATAGAAAAATCTACTAATAGTACCTAACAATGTTACAGAGTCAGTGCTTGTAAAATGTCCCTAAGAATTATCTCTTTTCAAATGAGTTGAATTTCCTTCTAAATTAGACTCTTCTCAAATCTAAATCTAATAAACTAGATAAAAATTATAGCAGAGAAACTCATACTTGCTTGCTTGTTTTGTTGTGGCAGTCCTGATCTTTTTCACTTTTTGTTTTTCCATAGTTTCTGTTGATTTAGGATCATCTCTCTATAAAAGTTCAAAAAAAGATAAATCTTAAGTAATAAATCATTTGAAATCTAAATTTAGAAAGTCCTACCTAGACTTAATGGAGCTCTGATGGTGTAGGAGGGCTACTAACCGCAAGTGGGTCAGCAGTTCCAATTCACCAGATGTTCTGTGGGAGAAAGATGAGGCTTTCTGTTCCTGTAAAGGCTTATAGCCACGAAAACCTTATAAAAGGTTGCTATGATACTACGAGTCAGAGGGAGTCCTGGTGTGGCCGAGTGGGTTAATACACTGGACTGCAAAGTTGGTTTGAACTACAGGGTCGGTGGTTCAATCTCACCAGTTGCTCGCTCCTCGGAAACCCTACACAGGGTTGTTATGGGTCGGGAACCAACTTGATGGCACTTAACAACAAGATGAGTCAGAACCAACTCAAAGGCACACAAGCATCACCATCATCTAGAGTTATGGACTATTGCCAAACAGTGATAATGAATTCAAATTCAACAGTTCATAATGTACTCATTCTCTGATAGACATTCATAGAAATCCCTGGTCATCTAGAACTATACACATAGTCAATTGACCTCTAAGTCTTGTGGATTTTATTTTAGAAAGTTTCTATTGTCCATTGTAATTTTATTACCCCTACCTCTGTCACAAATCTACGTGCTAATCCTCTCATATGGATTAGATTACCAGAGATTATTCCCAGCCTGCCCCCACTCCCCAACCAAGAATTAGAAACTATTTTTAATATATACATGGCTACCTCTTTTAGTTCCTTAACACATTCCTTGTATCCTCATGCCTCACTGCCTTTCTTTGTTATTTTCTCTGCCTTTACCTTTTGTCTTCAAGAATGTTTCGGGTTTTTTTTGTTGTTGTTTTAACAACTGAAGATTTTTGGCAACCCTGCATCTCAGGCAAGTCTCTGGTGCCATTTTTTCCCCCAATAGCACGTGCTATTTTGTCTCTGTCACATTTTAGAACTCTCCCAATATTTCAAACTTTTACTAGACTACATTATAGTATAAATATAACGTTGATATATACTTTGTTGTTGTTGTCAACTGCTTTCAAGTTGGCTCCGACCTATAACAATCCTGTATTACAAGGAGTGGCTGGTGAGTTTGAGCACGCCATCCTTTACTTTTATTTTAGGGTTGAGTATTATCTGGGTGACACAGTCAACTCTGGAACACTTTCTTCAAGTGTGGCTGATGGCTAACATTCCAGGGGTTCACTAATTTATATTTTAAATAAGCATGAAGGGATTTAAAAATGTCATGGAAATATTGTCTATTATCTTTCAATTCCATTTTCCCACACACTTTTTGAAGCACTTTCCTAGACCCATGTAATTCTGATAGACATTAAAAAGTGAAAACTGTTTCCTAACAAGTACACTCTCTCTTCCCTTACTTACAATTAGGCTCCAAAGGCCACGTTGTTATGTGAAAATGGCAGAGTATCACTTTAGATCACAAAATAGATGATGACTACATCACTATATGGAGTCCTGGTGTGGTGCTATGAATTAATGTGCTGGACTGCAAAGTTGGTTTGAGCAGCAAGATTGGTGGCTCAATCTCACCATCTGCTCCTTGGAAACCCTATATAGGGTTGCTATGGGCTGAAACTGACTCGACGGCATATAACAATAACGTCACTATATAACTGTCAAAGCAACCAACACCCGACATTAACTGTCACAAGCCTGTATTACTCTTGCCTTCACCCATGTGTTTATTATTGCCAGACATATGTTGGTAATGTTCAAAGTAGCTGGATAATACATTTTTTGCTATCATAAATGCAAATTGGATGAGATAGCTGATAAATAAAAATCTGTAATTTAAACGGCAGCTGCCAGTAACAGTCATTGGTAACTGACCACAATCTGTCTTAAATGATAAGGTTTCCAAAGGTGTAGACAAGGCATTTAACAATAATAACAACATCTTTAAATAATCTAGTTAGAAGACTCTACTTTCAAAAACAAACTGTTTTAAACAAGCATATAAATAAATTAATGCTTTCCTCGCCAGTTCATCTATAAGCGTGGATGTATTGGATACCTTTGTTTTTCTGGTCCTCAAAGTAGGAGGTGAAAGGACAAATGGTGAAGATAAATCTGAAACCAATTCTTTCAGTTGTGTAGACGCTTCTATTTTTTTTGCTAAAGAAAGGTTATGGAAAACAAAATAGCATTTGTAACTGTTTACATATATATTTGTAGAAAAAGCTTTAAACAAATGATGTACAAACACCCCCAAAGAAGACAGAAACAACCCCACACCTGATAAACCTTGTTACAGTAATCAGTGAAAGTAGAGGAAACTGACAGGAAAAATCCCAACATCGTTTGCATAAACGAAATGTTTAGGAATATTTAATGCTTCAACCCTGGTGCAGCAAAGTAGGATAAACACTGGACTGCAAACCACAATGTTGGCAGTTCATACCTACCAGCTGCTCCTCAGAAACCCTGTATAGGGTTGCAATGAGTTGGAACCGACTCAACGGTGCTCAACAACAATGCTTCAACCCAAAGTATGCTAATATATAAAGAAAGGATGTAAAAGCAAGTACAAAGCTTTATTATTCCACTAGTTTGAACCATCACTACTTTTCAAACATTATGGGGAGAGAAAACATCAGTTTGATATATAACCTGAGCTAGATGGCACTGTAGTACTGGACTGCCAACCACAAGGTCAGTGGTTCAAACCCACCAGGCTCTTCTCAGAAAACCTATATAGTGTTGCTGTAACGGAACAGACTTGACAGCACTTAACAACACTGCTTTATAATTCATACCATCTCCTAAATAAGGTTTACTACACAAGACTTAATCTAAGATTTCTTTCTTTTTTTAAATAGATAGTACCCATATTATGGGAAATTGACAACACAAACTATGGAAGCATTTCAGTACATTTGAATCAGTCTGTCAAAGAAGTCCTGGATTTACCATCAGTGGAACTAAAGGCAAGTTACTTGAATTTCACTTTACCTCAGTTTCTATAAATGGTGGTGGTTATGTACTGTGTAGTAGGTTCCAACTCATAGCAACCCCCATATATGGTTTCCGAGGCTGTAAATCTTTTACAGGAGCAGAAAGCCTCACTTTTCTCCCACGGAATGGCTGGTAGTTTCGAATTGCTGACCTTGAGGTTAGCAGCCCGATTTGTAACCATTATACTACCAGAACTCCTTGTAATTAATAGTAATAGTACTTACACCTCATAAAGTTACTGAGAATTAAATGGTAAGAACAATGTGTGGCAAAAAAAACCAAAAAACAAAAAACCAAACACCAAACTAACTGCCATCAAGTCGACTCTGACTCACAGTTACCTTCTATGTGGTTTCAGAGACTACAAATCTTTGCATGAAACTACAACCTAATTTTTCTCCTACAGATTGGCTAGTGGTTTTGAACTGACTGGTAAGCATGAACTACTGACCTGATTGTTGTTAGATGCCATCAACTCACAGCAACACAATAAACAACAGAATGATATACTATTTGGTCTTTCAACATCCTCACAACTGTTATTTTTGAGCCCATTGCTGCTCCCACCGTGTCAATCCATTTCCTTGAGGGGCTTCCTCCTTTTTGATGACCCTCTATTTTTCCAAACATGAAGTCTTTCTCCAGGGACCAGTTCCTCCTAATAACATGTCTAAAATATCAAGAGATGAAGTCTTACCATTTTCACTTCTAAGGGGCATTCTAATTGTACTTTTTCATAGATGTTTGTTCTTCTGGCAGTCCTAGGTACTTTGAATATTCTCCAACACCATCATTCAAATGCATCTATTCTTTTAAGATCATCCCTATTTACTGTCCAACTTTCGCACGCATATGAGGCGATTGAAGTGTAATCCACACTGTGCCTTGTGGTTTTTGATCTTAATCAGTAAGTGCTTCAAATCCTCTAAGCTATCAGCATGACAAGAAACACCATTTGCATATCATAGATCATTAATGACTCTTCCTCCAATCCTGATGTCACATTCTTCATATAATCCAGTTTCTTGGATCATTTGCTCATCATATAGACTGACTGAATAGGACTCTGGCACACACCTTTCCTGATTTTAAACCATTCAGCATCCAGTTCTGTTCAAACAACTGCCTCTTGGGTCTATATACTGTTTCCTCATGAGCCCAATAAAGTGTTCTGAATTACCTATTCTTCACAACAGTATCCATAGTTTGTTATGATCTACAGTTGAAAGCCACTGCATAGTCTATAAAGCACAAGTAAACGTCTTTTGGCGCCTCTCTGCTTTCAGTCAAGATTCATCTTATATCCCTACCAATGAGAACCCTAACTCCATGTCCTCTTCTGCATCTTGCAAGAATTTCTGTCAACTCCCTGTCGATGTACTGCTACAACAATTTCTAAATTATCTTCAGCAAAGTTTTACTTTCATGTGATATTAATGATATTGTTTGATAATTTTTACATTCTGTTGTATTGCTTTTTTGGGGAACGGCACAAATATGATCTCTTCCAATCAACTGGTCAGGTCTTCCAAATTTCTTGGCATAGACGAGTGAGTACTTCTAATACTGCATTAGTCTGTTGAAGCATTTCCATTTGTATTCCATAAATTCCTGGAGCTTGATTTTTCACCAATGTTTTCCATGCAGCTTGGACTTCTTCAATGTCATCAATTCTTGATGACATGCTATCTTTTGATATGGCTGAACACCAACCAATTCTTTTTGGTACAAAGACTCTGTGTATTCCTTCCAAGGTCTTTTGATGTTTACAGTGTCAAACAATATTTTCCCAAAGAATCCTCCAATATTCCAACCCAAGACTTGAATTTTTTTCTTCAATTCTTTTAGCTTGAACAATGCTGAGCATATTACTCACTTTTGGCTTTCTAACTCCAGGTCTCTGTACATTTCATTATCAGACTTTTACTTTTTGAGCTCTCCTTTAGAATTTTCTGTTTAGTTCTTTTACTTCATCACATTTCTTCTATTCATTTTAACTTCTCTACATTTAAATGCACGTTTTAGAGTCTTTTCTGACTTTCATTTGGTCTTTTTTTCCTTTTCTGTCTTTTGGTATCATCTCATAACTCTTCTGTTTTTCAGTCATTAATGTCCAATAAATCAAATCTGTTCTTGAGATGGCTTCTAAATTCAGGTGGGATACATTCAAGGTCATATTTTGGCTCCCATGGACTTGTTTTAATTTTGTTCAGCTTCAGCCTCAACTTGCATGTGAGCAATTGATGGTCTACTCCACAGCTGGCCCCTGGTCTTGTTCTGATGATATTGAGCTTTTCTGTCTTGTAATATCACAGAACGGACTCAACTGTCAGTAGGATTCTGAATATTCAATCTGGCGAGGTCCACCTTTTATATTGTTGAACTAGAACTTCAATAAACCATTGGCCCTTCCAAATTCTACCATGGAATCTCCAGCATTGGTTCTAGCACCAAACTCATGTTTTCCAACTATTGATCCTTTCTCTTTGTTTCCAACTTTCACATTCCAATCACTAGAGAATTACTGAACTACACTTGCTATGCTGTACATCAATATAACCCAGATTCTAAGTTTAGTATACCTGTGTTACCCATTGAATATATAAGTAAAACTTAACTAGTAATCTTTCAGGACTCACGGTATGGCGCTGTAGGATCAGCACTGGACTTTGAACCACAAGGTTGGCAGTTCAAACTCACCAGCTGTTCCTCAGAAACCCTATACAGGGTCACTATGAGTTGGAATGGACTCAATGGTATTTCACAACTTAACAAGCAATCTTTCATTTCCATAAACATACTTTTCAAGTATACTGCATAGAAGATCAAGAAAGGGTCAAAGTTCAACTTCCCAAATCCAGTAAAATTTATTTAGTAATTGGTATTTCTGAAGTAAAAATATAGTTGTTTTCTTTTAAATTAATTCATGGGAACAAATGACCTTAAATTTACTTGTATACTTATCCCTCATCTTGAAAAACGAACTCCCTAGCTCTTGCTCTTTCCCTCACCTTAGCAAAACAAAATTATAGTTTATAATTTAGTATGTGCACTGATTTGCTTAATATAGCCTCACACACTTCATTTAATCATTTAACCATTAATTCTTCTCCAGGCAAAATAAGACATAACTAACCACTCCTTCCTAATACCGTGAAGAAAATTAATTATACAGTGACGCTGCAGGATAATGAACTGAACCACAAGGTTGGTTTGAACTGCAAGGTTGGTGGTTCAAACCTACCAACTACTCCTCAGAAACCCCATACAAGGTTGCTATGAGTTGCAACTGACTCAACCCAAAATCAAAGCTTGGCTGGCACCAACAGTTAAATGCTAGACTACTAGATGAAAGGTTCAAACCCACCCAGATATGCCTCTCTGAAAATGCCCTGGATATTTTCTTTCAAAAGGGCACAGCTTTGAAAATCCCATGGAATTCAGTTCTACTTTATGCACACTGGGTTGCTGTGAGTCAGAATCAACTGCTGTTTCATTAAGTGCCTCGGAGTGTGTTCCAACTCGAGTGACCCTGGAAAGGCTTTTCCGAGGCTATAAATCTTAGTAGGAACAGAAAGCCTTATCTTTCTCCTGAAGAGTGAATAGTGAGCTAGACCTGCCAACTTTGTGATGCACAGTTCCTCAACAGCAAATATTAACCACCAAAACCAAATGTCTGATCAGATTGGAAAGGGGGTTCCCCACAAGTACTAATTATCTTCAGGACAAATTATCAATTTTATGTAAAGGAGCCCTTTCCTGGGCTCAGGTTTATATATATGTAACAACTGCATAAATACATTTTAAAGAGGTCTTAGTATAGTAAATGTCAAAGACAGAAAATTTTAGTTCACAGACTTTTAAGTGGCTTATCGAAGGAGCTCTGGTAGCGTAGTGGCTACGAATCGGGCTGCGAACCTTAAGGTCAGCGGTTTGAAACTACCAGCCGCTCCACGAGAGAAAGATGAGGCTTTCTACTCCCGTAAAGATTTACACCCTCGGAAACCCTGTACAGGGTCGCTATGGGTCGGAACCGACTCGACGGCATTTAACAACAACAATATATATATATATTTTTTTTTTTCATGAATGTAGGTTTTAACTTATTTTAAGCATATACCTAGAT